AGCCTCCATATAATACACCCCCAGCCTACATATAATACACCCCCTGCCCCCCATATAATACACCCCCAGCCTCCATATAATACACCTCCAACCCCAATATAATACATCCCCTGCCCCCCATTAATTGGAGTTTTCCAGCGACCCTCTTTGACTCACTGTTGACATGTGTGACCATGACTTGAGAAAAAAATTTGACCTGGTTTGTTGGAATCAAATTTCTTTCAGTTCACACCTGAACAAATCTTTGTGTAGGATTTACCCATGGAGCGTTATTCCTTGAGTAAGATCTCCAGGTAAATCAAGGATGGATTGATTATTTCCGGTGAGGTTTAAAAGGAATTTGATTCGGATAAGCTGTCAAAAACTAAATTTGGCGCAAGTCTAGTGACCATAAATCTTGTTACATGCATAGACCGCTCTCATATGGACAGTAATACTGGCTTAGCCTTGCTCTTTAGGAAAATGAAATCCACTATTACAAGAATAACGCTATCAGGGGGAAGAAATGGAAGTCTGGACAGGAGTCAAAAATTGGTGACTGTCCTATTAGGTCCATGACATTTAAGGTAGGAATAAAGTTATTTTGCTTTGGGGGTTTTTTTTTTTTGTGTTTTTTTTTAAATTTCACTGAGCAATGTAGAAACAGACTTCTAAGAATTTTCACCAAAAAGAGCAAATTTCATCTGTATACACTTCGAAAACTGATATGGAGAGCTTTAAATGGGTGCACTACATCAAAAAACAAAATGCATATAAAGAGTCTGACATCTCTTCTTATGGACTGACTGAAATCCTTTGAGTGCCCATGTAAACAGAAATCACAGCAATGCATATGCAGTCTCCCTTGTTCTGCAGAATTTTTTTGGGTAGGCATCTAAGTGAGAAGCCTCTGATTGGTGTAATCCACCGCACAGACAGGAGTAAAGCGATAAAGTGGAGGGCTTGCAATGGCGTCAGGTCTGAAGCTTTTGCAAGGAAAGCATGCAGAACAAAATACATGTTTTCTTTGGGTTTATATATAATAAATATGGGGGGGAGCAATTGAGCATTTCTTTAAAGGCTATATAATTTACACTATAGTTGTGCATTCGCTCATGCTATTTGTGATATACCAATTGATGGCTAACTTTTGGCGATGCGGCATTTCTCTTTATGGTCAGCCAGCGGAAAGCTTTATGGGAGATGTAGTCCGCAGCACTGCCAATGGTTATCCACTCATGACAAATTTACTGCTGCAAAACCAATCGATTTGCCAGCTGGGGCTATTTTTAGAACCAGCAGATTCCTAGATAAAGGATTGATTAGTAAGCAGGTGGATTTGCAGTCCGAGCCCGGGGCCATATTGTGCTTTGATCTGTTATTGATTAAGGAGTGTCATATTGAACCTGGTACACACATATAACTATGTTTCTCTGTAAATAAGCTTGTTACATGCCTCCTTCTAGCATTGTATACACACTGAACAAACAACCAATATATCCGATTAAAGGGGAACTAACTTCCCAGGATTATTTAGTATGTTTACTTATGTCCTATATACGTTAAAACTGCTGTATTAACTGCTATCATGGAACTTTGTGCCTCCAACATAGCTCCCTGTCATTGTTATACGCTCTGTCAGCCAGCGGAGAGAGAGCAGACAGAGAGGAAGAGAAACAGTAACAGTCCACTGTGTGCCAGGACTGAACTGGATTGTGAGGTCAGCTGCTAAATCTTTAATATACATTAAAAAGAAAATGAAGCATTATATAGACCGGGAAGGGACAACACGTGTGTAGTGGACCACGGGTTACCCAACCGGTTACCTCCGTTAACTTCAGCCAGTCAGGAACCATTTAAAACACAGAGATCCATTTCCCCCAAGTAACCGGAAGACACACAGTCCTGGAGGTACAACACAATTTTATTGGCCACACATGGCTTTTAAGCATAACCCTATGCAAGGGGTCTACCGTACAACCATACAGGGTCACATCCCAGGATCCCCCTCTCCCTGGGGTCCTAGCGCGGGAAGAGACTTTGCTCCCTTTGTCCCCAAAATCTGCCACAAAAACATTGGGATTACCACCCCGGATGCCAGGGGTTCTTCCTCCCAGGAGCCTCTGTGCCTGGGAGTCCAGGCGCGGGAAAAAGGGACCGTCCCTTTATCTCACAGGCACAGAAATGCCGCCCGCAGGAAAAGAGCTGGTCTCTCTGTCCCTCGGGCTCAGGAAAGCCCGCCAAACTCACCAGTGCCCCAAAAGTGCCCACACCAATCTCAGGGACCCACATGTCGGTCTCTCGATCTACTAACCTCCGTTCGCAAGGTCCTGGTGTGAAACCCAGACAAGGGCAGCATCTTCTTCCGGGGTATGAATGCTCCCCCTGACTTGCGTTCGTCTATATGAATGGCGGCCACCCATGGGAGCACTCATTAATTACTTCCCTTGCGATTTCACACCTATGTTGCGAGTGCGAACGTTCTGATTGTTACGAACGCTGGTATGTCAGATACCCGTTCACTTACGGTTTGTAGCGGATGGCACTGGGCTATCCTGAGAATTACATAAGTTTTGACTGCATTCGTGTAAATGGCAAAGTTATATGTGTTAAATGTATTGTATTCGACTGATTGTTCGGTAGAATCATTCCAACAACTAAGGGAATGAAACTACCGAACAGTCAGACCTCCCCGGTGTGAAGTGTGCCTTCAATTACCCGTTGCAACATTGTTGCGAACGGGTAATTGACAAGCTGAGTAGCAGTTCTTTGTTCGCAGGGGTGGCCGCCATTCGGGAAACGAACACGTGGCGGCGGCCATTTTAAAACTCCCGAACAGCGGGGTTTTGCCGTCGAGTGTCTGGAACTCAAATCGGACACTCGACTAGGCGAACACCGCTGAGACCTCCACAAGCCCAGTCCGTTCGGTTCCAAACTACCAGAGGGCCCCTCGTTCGGTAGATAGAAACAACCGAACGAGTGGTTTCTGGCGAACCCTCCCTAGTCTCTGTAACTGGAGGCTTTCGTGTAGTTTGTTCCCTTATTCCAGGACCGACCGCAGGGCCCCATCGCATGGAACCCAATTCGGCTATTCTTTCCAGCACGGTCGGTCATTTTATTCCCTCCATAAATTTCCCAAACCTGGTCTGATCTGGGTGATTTTTTGGATATGTTGTTCACCCAGATCAGGGCTATCAGGGGATGTATAATTTAAAGCGGTACATCCAGAAACAGGGGGAATTGGTGTCCTGGATAAGGGGATTATGATGCAGGCTGAGGGGAGGAGATGTGTGGGAGGTTACCAGAACAGGATTGGCTACTGTATTAATGACTGTAAATCCCTCCCTTGCATGGGAGCATGCTTTATAAGGCCACTGTCTGAATAAATCTTTAGTTCTGCTCCTGATACTGTGTGTCGTCCAGTTATTGGGAGTGCTGTGGGGATACTGCTGTGTTATTTTGCCTGCTGTATACTTTGCCCTATGGATTTATAATTGCTTGTTCCTGAGCCTCCCCGGGATCCAAAGTGGAGATAGGCTGTGTAATACCAGCTCTCCACTACACGGTTCCTCCCGAAACTGCTAAAAGCTGAGTGATTATAGCTCGCCGTTCGGGGGTTGATTCAAAAGTTCTCCAGAAGACAATGCAGTATCCAAGTAAATTCTTCCAGCAATGAGACACATACCTAAGCATCAGGCTAAACTAGATGAAGGGTACAACAGGAATGAATTTATTCAGGCCAACTGGATGTTTTTTTTGCAAGTCTCCATGCACAGGGTTTACAGGGGCATTCCCCACTGGACCTGAGAGGGGACTATGACAAAATACATACTGTAAGTACATTGGCTCTTAGATCTAGAACACTCCCACATAAAATAGGATAATCCTTCCCCTGTGCTTGGGAGATAGAGTCAAGGATTAAACTCAATTATCTCCAGGCATAAAAAAACATACATTTCAACAAAACCCAGAAAGTACCTTAAAACCCATGGAAACCCCACAACATCGGTTCAGGGATTTGGGATTTCCATGGAGGTCATAATTTGACTGACCGCATACAAGATCATATGCCCAAAAACAGTTCCACAGTTTCAGAGGTAGCAGTCGGTCCATTTCGGGAAGTCTAAAAACTGAACAAATTCACAAACTGTTTCCTTGACTCATGGGTAGGGAACAAAACTACTGAATAGCGCTCTCCTGGTTGGTCGGTGAAAAGAAGCAGGCATTCGCAAAGTTGACCGGCGTTCAGGAAGTCAAGTGTCCGATTTTAGTTCCAGACACTCGACGACCAAGTCCCACTGCTTCTTTTCGTGCGAACAGAGAGAGCACTTAATTTGCAGGTTTTCTTTGTAGATAATGAGCCAGGGGGTGGTCGGTGTTCGGTAGTTTTATCTACCAAACGAGAAAAATCAAAGTTAACAAATTAAGTGTGTGGTTTCTTCTAATGGGGCACCGGGGAGGTCCTTGTTCGGGAGACGAACGAGTCGGGAAACAATCCATGAATGCTCCCCCTTGTGGCGTTTTCCTGTACGAATAGCGGCCTCCCAGGGAAGCACTCAATAATTGTTTCCCTTACGGTTTGCGGTTTTGAGACATATGTTGCGAGGTGTGAACATTCTACCCTAACATTCTAAATAAGGTATTGGGGTGGTCCCCGTGAGGTGAATGAATTCCCTTTGGGGAAGTGCTCCCGAAAGGGGAGGGGGCACAATGAACGAAAATACAGGGGAAACACAAAAAAGCACTGTCATGGTTATTCAACAGCGTTTATTACTTATAATTCTTGATATTTTGACATTCACCAATCTACTGGTGGAAGCGTGATCCTGACAACATATATACAGATATGAGACCTATTTTGCTGCATGACTCAAGATGGCGGATACACAGGCTGCCTCCACCACACAAGATCTCCAGCGTTTACAACCTGGAGCTATACCTGCTATCACGCAGATAGATCTATGAGATGACTGGTGGAGATCTGTAATAGTTTTTGAGCCTCCTTGGAAGCTTGTCAAGCAATTCTGTCCTATCTAGAGAGAGACCAGGATAGCGAGTGAGTGAGCTTCCCTAAGTATAATCCACATCTGTTATGAGCTTGCATGGGGCTGAGGTGCCCCAGTGCATTATCCACGTGGACGGGGGACCGACTGCTACAAGCAGCACAGGAACATCAGAGCCCTCAGTCTCACCTCATCAGGGAAGGACTTGGACTCAGGAAATATTCAAGTCCGTGGCTTAGTAATGTTGGCCTATACTTCAGCTGGTGGCTGGGAAGCAGACTCGCAAGGCGCCCACAGCATCGCTTCCTTCCTGGGCTTTCACATACAGTTCCTGCATCCCAGCAATGTTGCTGAAGCTCAGTGTGCCGGCAATTGCTAAACCTGTCACTACCCTTATCCATGAATCTCTGGTTTCTGAAAACGTACCCAAAATTTGGAAGACTGCAAAAGTTGTACCTATTCATAAAATCGGTGACAATACATTGGTATCTATCGCCCAATATCATTGCTCCCAGTATTGTCAAAAATCTTGGAAAAATGCGTCCACACACAACTGTCAGGTTTCAAACCTGACATGTAAGACTTTTTCGTTTATTACTGGCCCTTTAAGTGAACTTCATGATTTTCTCCTCTTGTGGCCTCCCTAGCCACTAATCTATTCACTCACCTTAATAACCTCACCTGGATTAACTAATGAGGAGGCTTGATAAGTCTACTCCTGGCACACAACAGTGCCTTGACATTGAAGTCTATACTCTGATAAAGAATCTCTGTTCCTGGTAATATCCTGTATTTTATCTACATTATTTCATTCTGTAGAGAACTTAGTAGTAGTAGTAGTAAAACTTTAACACACACCCACAGTATCCTCCCCTAGCCCTGGAGATAATTATGTCTGATAAGATAGTAACTTAATTATCTCCGGGCTGAAAAATCACTTTTTTCCCCAATAACTGGAACACCCCTTTATACTTGGGGTATCCCCACAAATAATATGTCCCCTGATAGCCCTGATCTGGGTGACCAACATATTCGAATTTCACCCAGATCGGTTCAGGGGTTTGCGAAAACTATGGATGTCTTCTGTGACCGGCTCACCCTGGGCTGTATGCCCAAAACAGTTCCATGAATTTGGTGGGTTTTGCCGGTCACTTTAGAAATAGCAGAAAAACGAACAAAGTACCAAATGGATCCCTCTGGCTCCTAGCAGCGTTCGTGTCCCCTCGGTCGAATACACCAAAGTACCGAATAGCGCTCTTCTAGCTATTCGGTAAATAGAGTTCCAGCGTTCGTCTGTTTGGGACCGGTGTTCGGGAAGTCGAGTGTCCATTTTCAGTTCCATACACTCGACGACCAGGTCCCGCTGCCTTTTGTTCACATGAACAAAGATGGCCGTGGTTTTCTCTGCCACGTGGTGTTCGACTTTACGAACGCTGGCTGCACAGACAGAGGTGGCAATTGAACCAGACTTTGATGTTTAACGAGCCAGAGGGGTGGTCTTTGGTCGGCAGTTACATCGGCCGAATGCAATGGGCAGAAATAGTGTAACAAAAGGGAATGCAATGGGTATACATAATACAACAAAAGGGGATTTCTTCACAGAACCCCTTTTCAGCTATTCTCACCATAGGATTCAACAAATTAACTAAGTACCGAACAACCAGGCCACCGATGAGAGGAGCGTGGCGCCAATTGATCCCCCTAACCTGGTTCACACTCTCTCAATTGAAAACACACAAACCGAATGCTGTTCTGTTTTCCTGAGTTTACACGAACACGTGGCGGCGGCCATCTTAGAATACGAATTACACCAGCGGTGTTTGGTCGTCGAGTGTCTGGAACAGGGCCGGATTAAGAGCACACTGGGCCTGGTGCTGACAATTATGATGGGCCTAATTATGGAATCTTATCGACCAAAAACACTAAAACAGTCCTACCTCCTAAGCGTCATGTATCTGATGGAGATGGTGCTGGAGGGAAACTCATAGGATGCAACTATGAGAAAACACATACCCTTTGCTAATCTCACACTTTCATCTTTCAAGTCAACCCATATCCCCTAACAGCATTGTCCAGTAAAGCAGGAAGTCTATGGATGCGGTAAAAGGGTGGGCCACTGACGCAAATCACATAACCAGAACGGCCGAAAGGGCGAACATACACAGAAAGGGGGCATGTCTGTGTCCCCATGTCTCCCAGTCCTCTAGTGTCTGTGTCCCCATGTCTTCCAGTGTCCCCATGTCACTAGGACACTAGGGGACATTGAGAGACACGGGGACACTGGGAGACATGGGGGCACAGATACTAGGGAACACTGGGAGACCTGGGGACACTAGGTGACACACGAGGGGACACTGGGAAACATGGGGCACTGAGACACTGTGATATAGGGGACACTGGAGACTTGATAAAGACCTGGGTACAGGTCAAAATGTTGGGGTGTCCAATAAACCTGGCTAAATCAATCACAGTGAGTAAAAAAGTGGAAAAAGGTTAGCGCTAATAATAAAATGGATAAAATAAATAAGAGGCAGCAGCATAATAGGAGGTCACCCTCTAACCCTCTACAGTAAGAGTATACACAAAAACAGAGAAAAAGGCTGCGCCAAAAGGGATAAATAAAACAAATAAATTCTACACAAATAAAATTGTTGGAAATGTAATATAAAAGAGTCCCAATTATAGATGGTGTCTCAACTGGTGTGGTGTCTTCTTTGTTAATAGTCGTCCGTCTCACGATATGAAAGACACAATGGGAAAGAACCAGTCGTGCAGAGTGTATAGATAAGTAATCGTGAAATTAAATATAAATTTCACACTCACATTTCCATGAGCTAGGACCAGCTCTAGTATGATGGGCATACAGCGGATAAGCCTCCACTTGTAGGGGTGCTTGTCCTCCTGGAGAGTGCTGGTGTCCAATTCTCAGGAAAATAAATAAAAACAGCCAATAGTGCTCTCTGGTGAGGTAGTTAGCAAAAAAAGTTAAGATGAATAAAATATACTCACAAGTAGAGTGCAGGCCTTTTTGCACTCTATTATTCGCGTGGGTGGTATGATCCCCACATTAGGATATGCCAGGAACAGTAAATAAGGATAAAATAGTATAAAAGGGTAATATATGTAAAATAATTTATTAATACAATATATTAAAACCAATAACGCGTTTCGCCGTAGAGGCTTTATCAAATTGGAATAGTATTAGTACCTGGCACATAAGGAGTATATATAGCTTATACATACATTCAAAATTGGCGCCAAAAAACAATCACCAATCAGGGCGGTACAAAATATAAATAGAGAATACATAAACAAAAGATAGAAAATAATATACAGCATTAATATATTGAGACATATAATGGTATTAGTGTAAATGTCATGTAAAAACGAGGGTTATTTAATGTAAAATTTATGTAAACTAAAAATAAATAATTCGTTATTCTATCACAGTGAGTGCCTGAAATTTTTTTCTTTTATACTAGGAGACACTGAGACACTACGGGCAGAGAGACATGGGGCACTGAGAGACATGGGGCACTGAGACACTCTGATACATAGGGGACACTGATACATAGGGGATATTTGAGACTTGATAAAGACCTGGGTACAGGTCGAAATGTTGCAGTGTCCAATAAACCTACCTAAATCTATCACTGTGAGTGCCTGAGATTTTTTCTTTTATACTAGGGGACACTGAGACACTTGGAGACATGGGGACACTGGGAGACATTGGGAGACTAGGGGACTTTGGGAGACTAGGAAACACTGAGACACTAGGGACACTGGCACACTACAGACACTGAGAGACACCAGGGACACATGGGGATACTGAGATACTATGGACACTGGCTGGGAGACATGGGGACACTGGGAGTGCCCCATGTTTCCTAGGTCTCAAAGTCTCCCAGTGTCCCCATGTCTCCCTGTGTGCCCCAGTGTCTCCATGTCTCCCAGTGTCCCTTAGAGTCTGTGTCCCCATGTCACTAAGACACTAGGGGACACTTAGAGACATAGTTACATAGTTACATAGCTGAAAAGAGACTTGCGTCCATCAAGTTCAGCCTTCTTCACATTTGTTTTTTGCTGTTGATCCAAAAGAAGGCAAAAAAAAAAACAGTTTAAAGCACAATTTTGCAACAAGCTAGGAAAAAAAATCCTTCTTGACCCCAGAATGGCAGTCAGATTTATCCTTGGATCAAGCAGTTATTACCCTACATTGAAAGATTATATCCTTGAATATAGGGGACACTGGAGACATGGGGCCACTAAAACACTAGGGACAGTGGCTGGGAGACATGGGGACACAGACTAGGGGCCACTGGGAGACATTGGGCCACTGTGTCCCTAGTGTCTCAGGATCCCCATGTTCCCCAGTGTCCCAATGTCTCAGTTTCCTCATATCTCGGAGCTGCTGTCTGGACTCTCAGTGAATAGAGAGAGGCAGGGAGGGAGATGCTGTAACTTATCACTGCCTCTCTCCACACAAACAGCAACGCCTACTGGCAGGGGAGGGCTGGCAGCCTTAGGCCTGGGGGGCAAAACCAGTCAAGTGGCCCATTGCACCACCAAATCAGTTCACCATCCATGCCCACCTGGTTTTATAACGGATATTGATGTTATGCTAATCAGTAGCTCTTTGCCATACCCGCTCCTTCACGGCTCTGACTTTCAATGTTGTCAGAGCGCAGGCTGAGAATCTCTGAGCCTGTGCTCTGACTCACTAACTGAGCGCCAGAACCATGAGAGAGAGGATATAATCTGACTGCACCTACTGCTGGTGCGCACCAGTGGACCACCAGCGAATCATTTAAATTGAATATGCTGGGGTCCCCAACTTGTGAGCTGTGTTGGGCGCCTCTGTTGTCATGGCACCCTGCGTGACCGCACAGCTTGCACACCCCAACGTCTGGCCCTTCTGACACATACTGATGTTACTACTTAGAAATCCCTCAATATTAATACAGACATCAGAGTAAACACCAATAAACTGTGCAAACAGAGCTGATCCCCCCAAAGATTTGCTGAATGGATTTGTTGTAAGATTAAATCATGCCTCCTCCTCTCCCTCTCCCATGGGCTGCGCTGTAGGCTGGGAGGAAGTGAAGAGTAATCACATTCTCCCAGCACAGCGCCACCTGTGGCTGCATGGGGCACAGCTGTTTAATGTAATGCTTGCAGGACGGCCACCTGCCGCAGAACCTCTTTGTTCCCATCGCTGCAAAGGGCTCCAGGCACTGCTTGCTGTGAGTGTGAGCCATTGTAAATTAGGGGCAGAGGGCACTTGCACTGCGGTAAAGACAGGTCTGGGCAGGAGGAGAGTGCAGTGCAATCCCCTCCTGTGGGTCACCAGTAGACACAGTGTAGACACAGTGTGTGTTTACATTAAAAAGCCTGCAGGGACCGGCTATAGACACCAGAACCACTTCATTAAGCTATAGTGTCCCTTTAATGTGAGGTAAATTATAGATTAGTGTCACTAATAATATACTAGATTGCCTACTTACAACCAGATGAGGATGATGATGGGCTGCGGTTTGGCTCCACTGGTCTGGTGTAGAAGAGGATCTCTGAAGGCTGTTTGTAACTGTGGTCACAAAATTCAAAGTTCTAGTAGAATGGGAAGCAGCTCCATTTTTTTGGGGCCCCTTAAACAGCTCAAGGTCTGGGTCCCAGGGCCTGACGGTGAGTATGCCCATAAGGCCCACCTAAAAGTCCACCTACATGTTCCACCCATGAGTTCGCTCACAGGGAGTGGAGTGTGTAGGGGATGTGTTATGTGTTATTGTAGATGTAGATCTAATGTGTGTGCTTATGGTATGTAGTGTATAGGGATACCAGTTTGTGTAGGTGATGCAGTGTATTTGTAGTGGAGGCAGTGTGTTTTTGTGTATAAGCGATGTACTGTGTGAATCTGTGTTTGTATGCATAAGGGATGCAAGGTGTGTGTCAGTAGTGTGTGCATTGAGTGTGTGTATGAAATGCATTGTGTTTCTGTATATATGTAAGAGAAGCAGTGTGTGTGTTTGCATGTGTGTGTAAGGGTTTGCATTGTGTGTTTCTATGTATGTGTGCAAAGGATGCATTGTCTTTGTGTGTAATGGATGCATTGTGTGTTTCTCTGTGTGTAAGGGAAGCATGTTGTGTTTCTGTGTGTGTAGGGATGCATTGTGTGTTTGTGTATGTATAGGGATGCATTGTGTGTGTGCGCGTAGTGTGAAAGAGCTCCCTGTCCTGCCCCCTGTCCTATAGAGCTCTCCCCTGCCCCTTAGTGGTCTCTCCCCCCCCCCTTCCCTAGCAGTCACTTCTCACACCCACCCACCCTCCCTGTGCTCTTCTCATCCCCCCACCCCCAAACCTCCGGTATTCTTTTCAGCCCCCTCCCTCCCTGTGTTCTTCTCACTCCCCCCCATGTGTTCTCCTCACCTCCCCCCATGTGTTCTACTCACTCCCTCCACCCTCCCTGTGTTCTTCTCACTCCCCCACCCTCCCTGTGTTCTCCTCATCTCCCCTTCTCTCCCCTCCTCCCTGTGTCCTTCTTACTCTTCCCCATCCTCTCTGTGTTCTTCTTAACCCCGTTCTTCTTAATCCCCCGTTCTTCTTAATTCCCCCAATCCCCCTGTTCTTCTTAATCTCCCCACCCCGTTCTTCTTAATCCCCCCACCTCTCCCCCTTCTTCTAATCCCCCCTTCTTCTTAATCCCTCCCCCCTTCTTTTTAATCCCCCACCTTCTTCTTAATTCCCCCTCCCCCCTCTTAATTCCCCCTACCTCTTCTTCTTAATTTCCCCCCTCCCCTTCTTCTTAATCCCCCCTTTTACTTAATTCCCCCTCCTCCTTCTTCTTAATTCCCCCAAATCTTCTTAATCTCCCCACCCCTGTTCTTCTTAATCCCCCACCCCCTGTTCTTCTTAATCCCCCCACCTCTCCCACTTCTGCTTAATCCCTCCCCCTTCTTCTTAATCCCCCACCCCTCCTTCGCCCAATTCGCCCTTCTTCTTGAATTCCCCTCCCCTTCTTCTTAATTTCCCCCTCCCCTTCTTCTTGTTCCACCCCCTCCCCTTCCATCTTGAATTCCCCCTCAGCTAATGCTTGATTCCCCCTCCTTCTTCTTAATCCCTTTGCCCAATTCCCCCTCCTCCTTCTTCTTAATTCCCCCAATTCCCCTAATCTTCTTAATCTCCCCACCCCTCTGTTCTTCTTAATCCTCCACCCCGTTCTTCTTAATCCCCCCACCTCTCCCACTTCTGCTTAATCCCTCCCCCTTCTTCTTAATCCCCCACCCCTCCTTCTTAATTACCCCCTTCTTCTTAATTCCC